TATCCTGGCTGATATTAGAATAATAATTTTAGACTAAATTAATTTTAACCTATCCTGCAAGACAATTACATGTGCTTTAAATGGAGGGCAAAATGGAGAATATCTAAACCAGACCAGAGGTGACTGTTATAGAAAAACCATCAAACAACAGATAGGAAAGGACAAGTGCAGAGACTCCTAACTGTAAAAATCATATGTCCTTAGAACTATGGTAGGTTGAAGTTTCTATGGCAATTGGACAATTGAAAAAGAGGCTCATGTCATATTCCCCCCTCCTCCCCTAAATAGGGCAAAGTTGTGTTTCAGCATTAGAATACATGCATTGAATGCAGACAACTTTAAGATCAGTTCTTAATTATTGGAGAAAAGCAGGAAGATGATTGTAGGACAGAAGGCTGTGTTCTTTGAAAGTGCGTTCCTTCAGAGCAGGGGTAAGTCACCAGATGGTTTTGGATCATAACTCGCATCTGTATCATACAGAACGGGCCGGTTGTTGGGAAATTGTTGGGCATCGAATTGTGCCTTTTGTAAGCCGCCCTGAGCTGCCCCCCCCCAGGGGGTTGAGAAGGGTGGGATAGAAGCACCCCAAATAAATAAATAAAATTCCAGAATTTCTCATCCAAACCAGCTGAAAAGCTGCAGGTCTTCTATCCTCTGAATTTTGTTAAATGGTTCTAGGCATAGATGGAAAAAATATCCAAATTAGTAAAAGGCAATTTCCTAATATTATCAATGCCCAACATGTACATCCTGAGTTTTTGCTTTGGTGGTTCTTGGCAAGAAGAAGAAAGTTCATAGGAAGTTGAGCATTGCCAAGGATATAAGCTTCAGCAATTCTCTTTTGTGAAATTCTCTTTATCCTCATCAGTATGCTGTGGGAACTGTTTGAACTATGCTTTGTAAATGGTATTTCTATTATATTATTGTGGGGTGTGACTTCAACAATTAATAATGTACAGTTTGTGGGAGGAAAAGCACTCTTTTCTTCTTCTAATGGAGTCTTGAGACTAATTAATTTGACTTGAGAGACTATGGACTATAGCTCACAAAAGCTTATGTGATAATAAATGTCTTCATCTTTAATGTGCTGAGATATTTTTGTTGTTATTTTTGCTGTAACACAGCTACCTTGTGGTATTTTCTTCCTGGAGCTGGGTATGTATGCCTTTTAAGTATCAGCAACATTCTCACAGGTGCCTAAATCTCAACATTCATTTTTTAAAAAAACATGATTATTATGCAAAATATTTTACCTTTCTAAGTGACATCTGTCACTATTGTTTCTCTTGAAAAACTAGATGGTTTAACTTGTGATTCTGCATCCCCATATAGAAATCCAACATTTGAAACCACCAAATTATTATGGTTTCTCTCAGTGTCTTCATCTACAGCTGCCATCATAATTAACATGGGACGTAACTAGCCATATTGTTGGGAGATTCAACACACATCAGTTTGCCAACACTTCCCACTGAATTGTTTATGGGAGAAAATCATGCTTATCTAGAGTTCTCTATTAGAGGTTTCTAATTAGTCTATTAATCTCCATTAGCTTCTAATTGAGATCCTTCCTTATTTCTGGATTCTTTATGTCTCCAATATTTTCTTCATTTCACTTCATACAGCTTTTTGAAATAAAGCTTTTTGACTTACCTTTCCTTCATACAGCTTTTTGACTTACCTTTCCAATTAGGTGGGACAAGGAAGGTATGAATGCACTACATTTGTCTTTCAGCTCCAGGGAAATGAGTTATTTTGGCATTTTCATGTTGAACGAACTTAAGGATGTTTTCAGGCCATCAGCATAACTGACAAAAAAAACTTGTTTACTCCATATATTAATATGCAATTTTAGCTTTTTACTGGTGGACATTTTGGGGCTTTTATGAGCTCTGAAATAATTTAATACAGAACTACAAAAAGGGTCATCCACAATCCCTTGCAAAATGGGACATTCTGGATTGTGGCTACCCCTCTGTAATTCATTCATTGCATTTGTATTTAGAAATATGGGGGACCATGATGCCTATCTCACTGAAGTTGCACAGTTCATATAAAATGTACATAATGACTTTAAATCCAGTGAATAATGCATCTTGGCAAGGATTTAATCACACTAATAATCCAGTAACAGAGGAAAACAATCAACATTTGAATTTACATAATGGAAGTATTCTAATAAAGATACCGCACCAGTACATTAGGACATGAAAATTTGTCTTTTCAGTATTAATTGGGTTTTAGTGGAAAGCACTGGGGAAAAAACTACAAAACCAAATAGCTACCTGTTGAATTAGTTGCCATTTGATTTCCAAGGAGAACCTTTGGTTAATACATTAAAATGGTTACTGATTTGCATGCACTGATTTGTCACTTAAAAGTAAATACCTCTTTAGGTTCCAGCCCTAGTGTAAAAGGCATCTGGTTTAATATTTCGGCTTTCATCATGTACTAAAAGGCTTTAGCATTTTGACAAATAAATTAAGCTATATTTTCATGCATTGCTTGTCTTTAAATGGCAGTGTGTAGCTTGGTGGTTAGGAGGTAGATTGGAAAGCATGTTAATTCAAGGTAGCATGCAGGAACGAGGGGAGAAGAACTGTCTGTTCTCTGTCCGTCTGCCTCTGCAGTGTTCATGAACAATGGATCCCCAAGTCTACAAACCACAAGTCTTTGCCAAAAAGACTTTCCAAACACTCTTTGCCCCGAGGCTGCTCAATAATGTTTGGTGCCAATTTTCTGTCTGTTGTTGGATGGACTGAGCAACTCTATGAAAATGTATAAGTGATGCATGAAGCATATGGATGGTGCAAGTTGAATATTCCTGGCACTTTCTCCTTCTCCCCTAGCTGGCCAGCTGTGAGTGCAGCTGCCACTGAAATTCATCAGTATCCAGTTCTTCTCTTCCAACCATTTGAGATGTGGTATCCAGTCAGTATTATAGAAATCTATGAGTCTTTTTATAAATTTTGTGACCTGCTCATTCAGAACTTTTTCATGGATCCAGTATTTTCAGGGGGCTGTCTACATTCTCATAGTTATATCTCATTTTGTGAAGAGATAGTGTTTTCATGCCAGTGTATATCTTGTGATCTTGTCCCCCTTTAGCACTAGTGTGTTTGTGGCAAATTGATCTTTTTCATTTGAAATACATACACACACAAGAAAGTAGGAGAGAGGTGTTAGAGTTCATTTCTTAAGTATCAAGCAGTAAGTGCTGCAAGGATCAATGCAGCAGGGAGTGAGCCAACATTGTGTAGTTACAGCCAGGGTGGGGCAGCTGCAAGGGAAATAAAGGAACCAAAGCACTACTCCTGGGTGTGGGTTGTTGGAGGTGGTTGCTGGAATTGGATTGTTGGAGAGGTGCCTTTGGAGGAGTTGCAGGAGTTCGCTGGAAGGAATTTAGAGTTACACAAGGCTTATGTCTCAAAGAGAACATTTGAATTCTGTATGTATATATGTTCATTTATATAAACTCTGCAAAAGACAAATTACTGAGTTTGTTTCATGGTCAAAGGCAAAAGTTAATACTCCAATTAAACAGAGTAAAGTGCCTGCAGACAGCTGTATTTAGGTGCTACAAAAGAGTAGCAAATTGTTAAATTGCAAGATTCAAGTTGAGTAATGATGATGATGATGAATCATAGAATCAAAGAGTTGGAAGAGACCTCATGGGCCATCCAGTCCAACCCCCTTTATTTATAGACCACCCTTTCTCCTCAAGGGGACTCAGGGTGGTTTACACACAAAAAGGCAAACATTCAATGCCCATAAGCTAATACAGACACCTCAAAAATGCAAAATAATAACTGTAAACTTATAACAAAAGAGAAATTAACATCAAAATGAGAAACAGAATACAAATAATCAAATAAACATAATTATACTAATAACATAATTAACAAGACACAAACCCTAAGAGAATGATTAAAATACATAAAAATAGCTATCATGGTTGTTCTTTAACATGTACCATAGCAGCAGTAGAATACAAATAAGTTGGCCAGCATTCAGATGGAATTAAAAGTGTCTTAGTCCTCCTCCTCTCCATACGCTAAAGTGCATAAATACGTTTTCAGGAGGTTTTTTTTTTTTGAAGGAGAGGAGGGTGGGACCACAAATGCTTAGGACCAGAAGAAGCTGCAGGTGCAACAAAACCAAGTCTAACCCAGTCTTTCACCATATCTTTCTAAGCTTTGTAAGGAAATAATAGAGAAGGCAAAGGAACCAGTTGTCTTAATTTTACTTGGCATAGGTTTTCACGCACTGCAACATATTTCATAAATTATCATGAAGTATTGCCTGAGTTAAGACATTTTTATATGCATACTTTGGCATGGTAGTCACAGAAGTGATGTTGGGTAGGTGTTTTATTGCCACAGAATAACATGGCAATGCCCGAGGGAATTGTTGGAGTCCTGAGTATAGGATATAGGTTGCATCAACTATTTCTGATATGCCCATGGACAGCAAACACAGATATGCTGCCTTTAATAGTGAAAAAACATTACACGCATATGTTATATAGTATACATTTATAAGTTTACTTTGCTGAGGATCAGTGGAGGAGTTTATGGAAATTGTTAAAGTAATCATGATTTATAGGAAATGTCTTGATGGATCCTCTGGACTGAGAAGAAAATTGGGAGTGAAATTACATTAAGTTGAATTTTCCTGTATGTAATTGATTTAGGAACAGAGGGTCCTATTACAGAAACGTTGTGCCAGCACCACATTATTTCTGCATTTCACTATCAGAGAAAAAGGGGCTTTAAATCCACCAAAACTAATCAAAATATTTCACTCTTTAAAATAAGGCTGAAAATGGATTTAAAATTTGTGTGGCTGGGCAATGTGTGATCACATTTGGAATAGAATTGTTAACAGTGGTAAATATCTTTGTTGTTAACATTGCACATGTCATACAAATGAAAGAGTGAGAGCTGTTCCTCTCATATTTCACATTTCTTCTAATGTGGGTTTTGTTTTTGTTTGTGCAGAACTACTATGGAGCTGCCAAAATGATATTTTCTGACAACCCACTTGGGCTGACATGTGGGATGGTGTGCCCAACTTCAGATCTCTGTGTGGGTGGATGCAATTTATATGCCACCGAGGAGGGACCAATTAATATTGGTGGACTGCAACAATTTGCTACTGAGGTAAGTAAAGATGTACATAGATTGCTTTTTGAACTCCATAGACCCAATTTTTAAACAATTCTATTTCTCACTACAGTCTGATCCCTTTCTTTTCTTTATATTAAATACAAGAGCACACAGAAAGTTAGTTGAAGTCAAAACGTATTTGTGTGGGCAGTAGCAACCAACCTTCCTTTGCCAGGAACCCACAAAAAAGACCAATACAATGGGTTGGGATAACCAAAAACCACAACTTTATTGGTTGCAATGAAAACAGGGGTGGCAACCATACATGGGTTCTGGATCAAGAATCGGACAGCCAATACTGACCATGCCACTTCACAACCTTAAGGGTACCTGGCAGTGAGCCGGCTAGTTCTGACCTGGGACACAGGTACTGCTGCACCCCTTAGCATATTCCAAATATTTAGTATATATTTATTTTCTCATTTTGTTCTTGAAGACAAGAATGAAAGCAAATCAGATTGGCTGAATTTATGAGTATTTTCACACATTTTCATTTTTTTTCTTTTTAAAATAAAATTTCTGCACAAGATTATGCCTCCCCCCCCCAAAAAAAACCTGTTCTTGCAAAAAAAAATCCCTAAATGAATACCACACAGGCATGTAGCCGAGGGGGGGGGGCTTGGGGGGCTTCAGCCCCCCCCCCCCAAAATTCTCATGGTGGTCCGCAAAAAGGCCTTACTGGTACATTATTTAAACTGTTAAATATTTAAACATTATTTAAACATGATATAAATATGTTTATTTATATCATGATCTGATCACCATGCTCAATATATCCCATATACATGGGGGTATTGGGGTAACGATACAAAAGGTTAGCTAGGTAGACCCTCTTTCACTCAGACTCAGCCCCCCTCGAACCAAACTCACCCCCCCCAATCAAAATCCTGGCTACGGGCCTGATACCACAGAAAACCTCTTGTTCATTTGGGCACTCCCGGTGATAAAAATACTTTGGTTGCTGGCAATTTTTTTCAGTCTGATGTTTTAGCTTGTCAAGTCTTTGCTTGTGAAGAGAAAATGAAAAAACCTGTCAATATTTTTTTACTTCTCTAGCTTCATTACTTCATTATTTGTATCATATTAAGTTTTGTGAGGAGGCATTTCCTGGTATCTCACTAAATATGGAAGTGTGTTAGAAGTCTCCTTATATATATGATAACAAACACTAGGCTCAACAATTGATAATGCTCTCCTCTAGTATCCAGATGACACAAAGGAGGGTTTCATTTGCACAAAGAGGGTGGGGCTAAACACAACTAGGCTGTAAGATTCTGCAGATCTCAATACTGTAACTTATGCTATTAAACTTCTATGAGTATGTGTTTGTGTGTATGTGGGTTATCCATAGTTTTTGGTGTTGGGGATAATTGCTGTGCTGGTGATATCCCAATTTGTCTCCCATTCACAATTCATATAAAGGAGGCTGTGGAATTACTGGTCATTGTCTAGATACAATGAACAAATGGGTGTGAGCAGACAACATGAGCCCCATTCTGTTGGTCAGTTCGAAAACCATCCTGGTTTTGGGATTACAAGCTGTTCCAGATTGTGCTGCAGTCCCTCTGAAAAACCACCGCATTCTTGGATCCAACATTGCAACATGAAGCCATGTGGCTGCTTTTCAAAAAGTATGTGATATAAGCAGAGTCAGCAAAAATTACTTTTTTGAATGATGTCTCCCAGAATCTCTCAGTAAGGCATGTCAATTTCACTTTTCTCCATTTTCATATTTCTAATATTACATTTAGCTCTTCCTTAAGTTGGAGATTATCTTGGGAAAAGGTATACCCTAAAAATCAGACATATTTTTGTGTGCATTTTGCATGATAAATTCATTTTTATATTAAGGTACATTTTTTCTTACTCTACCCATTTTCTAGATGTAGCAATTTCTCCAGTTTTGTGATAGTTATAGGCACAGGACCCTCCACAAATGTGAAAAATACAAGTAAATTACACATTTTAAAATCTGAGATAATATCTCTTTAGTAATGGTTAGGTCCTCCATTGTGACTTTGTGGCCAACTTCTGGCAGAGTTATCCTGGAAGACTTAGATATTCCTAGAGATAACATATTAATCAGATCCTCAAATAAATCCACAAATGTTAAATTTGTAGATATGGAAGTCTGACTGTAAAATACTCTTCAATATTATTGACACTAGTCCACTATTTTTGTTTTCAGTTAAAGAACTCCACTGCCATGTTTTCAGTTAGAAAATTCTACTGCCACACTTATAAATTTTGAAGAATGCCTGTGTTTCTGTTTATATGTTGTCTTAAATGAATCAAATCTAAATACTGATGTACTAAATGATGATTCTCTAGTTGATGAGGATTGGCATGGAAAGAAATTGAGGATTAAGTTCACTAATTTAACACATAAAAAAGAGGTGGAATTGGTCCACCAGATCTCAAATTATATTATGAGGCTTGTGGACTGAGTTGGATTAAAGATTGGTCAACTTTAAAGAATACAAAAATTGTATTGTCGAAGGCTTTCATGACCAGAATCATTGGGTTGTTGTAGGTTTTTTCGGGCTATATGGCCATGTTCTAGAGGCATTCTCTCCTGACGTTTACAAAAATTCATTAGAAGCGTTCAATTTAAGAGCGGGTTGGCATGCCTATTTATGGTATGTGAAAAGGAAAGTTGAGAAAAATTGTAGCAACCACTTTATCAGATCAGCATTGATAAAAAATATGGGAAAGATATAAAAGCAGACTATATACAAAGACCCCACTATGGATCTCCCCATGAGAAGCAAGACACAGAAGAGAACTGGGACAGGAAAAATGGCTCAAATACAGAGATATATTGAAAAAACAAAACTGAAATACCATATTAAAAACACAAGAAGAAATCAATCAAATAAACAAGAACATCTCCTGGTTTCAATACAGATAGATAAGAGGAAGCTACAACAAAGACAAGATAACAGGATTTCTGGAGAAAGATTCTTTCAGGGACAAAATAATGACAGATAAACTAATAAAGAAACAATATAAAATCATTAAAATGGTCAACAGAAACGGAACAAGTAAAGGATTGCATGGTCAAATGGGTTGCAAACATTGGAAACTCAATCAAATTAAAAGAAAGGGGAAAATGTGGAACCAAAAATTAAAATATACATATTTGTATGATTTGAAAGGAAATTGATATAAAATGATATTTTAATGGTACATAACACCACAAAAAAAAGAACATTGCTATTAAAAGTCCAAGACAAGTTCTGGAAATGTGAAGACCATGTGGGAACTTTTTTCTACATGTGGTGGACTTGCAAAATTGCAAATAAAATATTGGAAAGAAGTTCAAGAAAAAAATCAAGAAAATGCTAGACTTAAAACTACAATTGAAACCAGAATACTTCTTATTAGGAATCACAGACTTTGATTTGGACAAAAATAAAGACAGGTTATTTAATTATTTAGGAGTGGCAGCCAAAATAATATATGCACAAAAATGGAGGATAAAAGAAATACCTTCACCAGAACATTGGATGTCAAAAATAATTGACATAATGAATACGGGTAAATTCATTAACCTAATTAGTTTGTCAACATTCATGTGGAAGTAACAAAAACCAAAACAATGGACTGGTTACCATTAAGAGACTATATGTTACAAGAAAAAATGAAATTCATAATAGAACCAAAATGAGGGTTTAAAGAAAATTGTTCCCTAAGGAAATAGGACAAAGAGAATTAAAAAGAACAATGTAAACCACAGTGGAAAAGATTGGAAGTTAACTTTTTCTTCATTATACTCCATTCCTTCCCCAATTTGTGTGTGGCCTTTTTGGTTTCTTTCTTTCTTTCTTTCTTTCTTTCTTTCTTTCTTTCTTTCTTTCTTCTCTTGTTCTTTCATTTTTACACCTGGAGTAGTTTTCCCATCAGACCCTCCCTCACTACTCTATTATATCCCAACTTTTAATGCCATAAAAACAGATCTCTATGTTTTTAATTTATATATGAACCTGACTGGTGACCATCACTCAGAGGACTTTTTCATTGACTTCCCCATGACTGTGGAATGATCTGCTGGAAGAGCTCTGACAGCTAAACAAGTTATTAGAATTTAAAATGCAATTGAAGACCCATTTCTTCCAGAAGACCTACCCAGCCAACTTTCAGTCATGAGTTTTGATTTACATTCTATTGCTTGTTGTTGTTCATTCGTTCAGTCGTCTCCGACTCTTCGTGACCTCATGGACCAGCCCACGCCAGACCTCCGTGTCTATTCTATTCTATTCTATTCTATTCTATTCTATTCTATTCTATTCTATTCTATTCTATTCTATTCTATTCTATTCTATTCTATTGCTACTATATGTCAATTCTGTATCTGTGTTTGGTGAAAGTTTTTTTTATTTTGTGTTTTTATCTATGCAATTTAATGTATATATTTTATGTTCATACATTTTTGACTTTGTTATACCCTATCTAGAGCCATCGGAAGAGGAAGATTACTACTACTACTACTACTACTACTACTACTACTTCTACTACTACTACTAATAATAATAATACAAATATACCATCTCCTAAATTTACACATTTAAAAAGTGTTAACAAAATGGGAAAGACGAACTCGCCTGGTGAAACTGAGGCCATCACTAACCCTGCATTATGATGTGATCTTTGTTGTTGTCTAGTTACAAAAAATATGAAAAAAATGCATCTGTGAGTTTGTAAAGCTGAAACAAGGAGGGAAGGCACTTGTAATGTTAAAAGATGCCCTGAAACCAATGTAATTTTTCAAATTGGATTCTACAAGTCACAGTGCATTTTGTAAGGGATCTACTCTGAAAAGTGTTTTGGAGCTTCAGTTGGTTTCATATATAACATTTAGACTGCAAACTGGTGCAAGATATAAAAAATATTTTACTCTGATACTAAATGAGGTGTCTCTTGTTTTCTGTGCTTATTCAAGATATTGGTTTTAAACTTTAAAACTTGAAATGTCTTGAAGTCCCACTATTTAA